TATTCTAACGACCAACGGATGTGATTATTAGATTACGCCCAGGTCGAACTTTTGGAATGCGCGTCCACCGCCGTAGAGGACAAATAGGTCGCACACGCGCAAGAAATAGGGAGGAGTTTTCCCGGTATATCATGAAATGGAAAAATGCTAAGAAAGATTAAGCATCGCTAAAGAAAAAATAATGYTCTAGAGTTATAAGCGTTGCGGGACGTCACACTACTGTATATAACTATAATTGTATTATTTATTGAATGATTCGAAAAATATTTTATATTATTTTTAAGATAATATGAGTTTGAATATGACAGAAATTTGTCAAAGACTCTCCAAAATAATAAATATGATTCTGTTTATTGGAAACTGTATGTTAATGGTTCGTTATTTGTTTCTTATACTTGATTTTCGACCAACCGCCTACGAGCAGTAGACGTATTTGCAAACTTATCTCTAATCGCGAGTACCGCTACGAATACATTAATTTCAATTTGAGTTTATCTTGCCTAACGGCAGAACCGTTAAAGTAAAAAGACCCATTGCGACTGTGATTTATTTTTAGTACATGTTTAAACTTTTTATACCATTTACATTGTGAGTTTCGCATGTAAAATGTTCAAAGAAAAAAGTTGACTTATGACAGGCGACTTTTTTGGTGGTTATACCGTCTAATAATGCCATAATTTCTATTGAGCCAATTAAAATTATCGCTAACGGCTATAAATATATCTTAAAAGAAGATTATAATATATTAAAAAAGCACAAAACTGTAGTTCCAAAAAATCCAAGCAACAATTGGTGTTGTGGATTGCAAAATTACGAAAAAAATGTCAGTCAAACGACCACTAATGATCGAAATAACAACTGAAAAGAAGTTACAGCAAATAAAAAGCGTAATAATCCCGCATGTAAACAATCAAACGCAACACTGGTTAAAGGAAATACCACTATTCAATTCGTTTTACTCTCACTAGAGGAAAAGATAGTGATAGACATTATTAAAGAAGCTACACATCATACTATTAAAAGCACCACCCATTTTCTAGATAATAGATTATAATAACTGAATAATAGAACCCTTTATTAGGATGCTTAATTATTCAATAAAGACAAAAACTATATTTTAAAACAAATCTGAAATGAATCCTATTGAACTTATTCACATCTAAAGATAATTACTCTGTTCGACATTAATATCTCTGTTATTTGTAATAATACGAAAAAATGAATAATGTGAAAATTGCGTGACATGAAAAGAAACGTTTTTGATACTGTTCGGGTAATTTAACCCTTGGTAAGAAATTTGTATTTCGCGCAGTAGTGCACCAATAGAAGCGYGTTAATAGGCACGCTATGGCGTGTAGGATAAGTGTGAGGTATTGTGCTTGGGCCTTATGCCCGGATGGGACAAATACTAATTTGAATTTAGAACTGCTCACGAGTWAAATCGATTGTTAGTAGATACAGCAACCCTACATATGGCTTTTGCTAAGATTTAAGAATAGGAGAGTTTTCTTACTTCATCAGATAGCCAGGGCCACGTTTATCTGGAATTAATTGGCAAAGTTAAGAGAATTTCCAAGCGTGCGAGAAAATCATACCTTGCAGAGTATTTGCGTTTTTGTTCTCATATGCTCTAACTTCGAGTCATTATCTAATTATGTAATTTCCTTCTAAAATAAAGTATTCACTTGTCTCGGCTTATYTCTCAATTTCGTGAGAGTTTTTATGCCGAGGAAAGTTGCAATAATACGGCGAAAATTTGCGTACATTGATTTACTTATTCATGCCTATTTCACTTATTCCTGTTATAAAACTATTGCATGTTTGTATTCTCACGGCTTTAATAATTAATATTTCTTTTATACTATTTTCTCTCTAAACATATACCTGTTTCTTTTGTGTAGGTAAAAGATATATCGAAGTTATCTAATTTTGACAGTACGAAAAGTATCACTTATTGTATGCAAAAGTAATATCTTTTTCTATGCCCTGATACGCTATGAACTCTGTGACATTCTCTATATTAATATTGACATTCATTCTTATCAATACTAATTAGTACAAAGATATTTGGTTAGAAAAACGACAATCAAATTATTTTAAATTTTCCAAGCTTCAAAAGAGATTTTCTTCATAATAAATATCTTATTAAATATTTGTCTTTTTTTTTGTACAAGTAAAATCACTTCTTGCCCGATTCAACTGCGATTGTTGGCCAATCATTTATAATATTTCATCACTAACGATTGAGTCGTATAGTTCTATAAAAAGATATTATTGTTTATGTATTTCCTGAAATTCAAATTAGTGCTATTAATAACGATTTCTTCTATCAAAAATCAAATCTACAGAACAGTACAAACTATTTATATTTATACCGATCTGTAATGATTCAAAGTCATCTAAAGTCACAACAAAATACGACGAGACTGATATATAAGCAATGTTAAACATTCATATAGAGCGTTATTTTAATATTTGAATATAAAAATTCGTTTGTTATTTATGAGTTTTATGTTCTGTGTTTAACATCCTTAAAGATGTCTTTGAAATTAAGAATTATACTGGCAAACTTGTGGAAAAATTTTATAAGAGGCATAAGTGTTGACAATACTGCACAGGAGCTTCTGTCACTGGATTATTATGAGTTTCCTGAAGTATGTTTAGCGACAATTAAATTTTGGTTTAATGTTTTTATTGAAGATGAATTGAAAAATCGTCAATTTAGTCTAATAAACAACGTAAGATTCCGTCAGTATAAAGATTTTTTATCGCAACTATTAGCAGAAAATCCTACCTGGACGACTGCTCACTATATGGATGCTTTAAAAGAAAACGATCAAATTATACGTCATTATATTACAAAACTTGGCTATATTTATTTTTATGGAATCTGGTGTAAGCCTCAGTAAACAAAAAACAAAGAATTGTTTTTATTAAATTTTCGTGTATCATTTGAAATCTTGGCGAAAAATAAAAAATATTCTTTGAAAAAATTACTAAGAGTGGATAAGACGTCTTTATTTGAATTCAGAAGAATTAATATCTGAATGGGGCATTCTGCATTATAATAAATTTTTTTAACTTACTGAACGAAAAATTTTCCAAAACAAAAAGAAAATGATTAAACTTGTTTTATATTCTTTACTTTACTTATGTTAAAAAATGAAAGATTTTGCGACGATAAAATGATTTGGAAATCAATGAATCTACACGAAAATGATTGAAACCTTTTTCTCCATTGACAAATTTTAATATAATAAATAACTCAGTGTACACATATACACGTGTCAGGGTTCTTAAAGAGAATAATGTACTATATGAATATAACTTCATTTTGCTAGGTATCATAAAGAAGTAAAGCAAGCCTTGAGGCTTCAGACTAATAACAAGTTTTGGGAATTTTTGAAAGATTAATAAATAACACTTTTTAAAAAAATGAAAAAAATGTACACTTTTGTGTATATTTAAGAACAAAAATCAAAAATATAAATTTTGGTAAGTTTAATGGCGACTTTAACATAATTTTCTTTAATTAGAAATTCTTTAAATTTCAGAAAAGTATCATGTGCATCATTTCTGTAAAATGATTATTTTTACAATAAAATAAGAATATTTTATCACAATCAATATGTAAGAAACTATGAACAGCAAACTACTTAGCTGTTTTAGAGAATATTAATATTTCTGAAAAAATTATGGTTATTTTAATTTATATATTTTGAAGTCTTTTTAAAAACAAATATTTTAACAATCGTATACAAATACTGTGCTATTAACTATTAATTAGACTATTTATAATTTATGGGTATATCATTTGGTATATGATCAACAACCGCTAAATAGAATATATTAGACAATTTAAAAAAAAATGTTTGAGATCTTGCATACAAATTTTTAGAATTAAACATATTATTAAATATATTATAGCAATGTAAACATTTGTAAGACAGCAAATATATATAGAATTGGTAATTTTATTATTAAATTAATTAGGAAAAACGTAACAAACGTTATTAAATTATTCAATGTCAAAAACTTGATTAGTGTAGATTTTTCATAAATGACAGAAATGTTGCAAAAACTTAGAAATCTGGATTAATACTACCAGAAGCATTTTACTGCTATTCAACTGTAAATATTGTACATCTTCGTTTACATAGCCGTTAAAATAAGTTACGATAAGACCAGTTTTTTTAGTTTTTTTCTGATCCCTAGTACTTAAGTCTATAACTAATGTAAGATTGAAATTAACGCATTGAACGACACTGTATTAATATTGACTTTTAAATTAATTTGTACAGAACAATTGTAGATCTGATTTTGCACAGAATATTATCTATGGCTTGCTAGTAATTAAGCAAATGCAGAAAAAAATAAACAGTGGAATGTGAAATATATCAATGTTTGAAAAATGCTTACATATTATAAAAATAATCACGTAATAACGCGAAGTCGGCGTTCAATGTCTTAACATTTTTTGATCGAAATTAACAATAAAATACCAAGACATTTATATACATACTCAACCACCATAAAACTATAAAATGTAATCATTGTGAAGCCATGCGCAGGCTATGTGTGCACATGTATTATAATTATGTTCTTATATTGTTTGCTTCTTCTTATTTTGTTAACGATAAATATTATTGTATTATGTTGTTTTGTAATAGATGGTAATAAAACATATTGTTTAAGGTCAAATTTAAGTTAAGCATTAGTGTATTTCCCTAGCAATCAGATGGTCAGGATTCGATCCTACATATAGGTTTCCCTTAATTTAAAAAATTTTTAATTTTCCTAGATAAATCAACAATTTACAAATATTATCAATTAAAACATAAACAATTCTTTAAGAGAAGAAGAAAAGGAAGAACAATATAAAAAGAAATGTTATCTTTTATTGAATTATTAGATTATTAAGTACTGATACAATAAATGAGAGGAAACATTAAAAGTAGCAAATGTAATGTTAAATGAAAAAATGGCTTGACATCGAACAATTTATTCTGGACCGTTTATTTGTCTTCTTAATGCAAATACACATAAACACCCCATGGGATTATACTATCCTATAATAACAGATGATATAGAAAATTAATGGCTATCGATTCTCAAGGCTTCAAAGTATCTGTACACATAGATACTAGAAAACAAATAACTTTGAACACTATAAAAAGAATTAAGAAATACGAACCATTTGACCACATTTGAACCCTTTGCGCTCAAGGCTTTTTTTTGCTGGGACCTATCAAACAACTCGAGACGATTTGCTGCATATTTCGTGTATTCCTTATAGCTAATTTAAAATGATTTCACATACAAATTTACATATAAAATTATTATTTTTGAATATTTCGTGTATCTTTTTTTTTTATTCGACATCTACACCTCACGTAATAATAAGCGAAGTATACATGATACTAACTGTTTGATCTTTTTCCCTTAAGAAAGATAAAGATAAACGCTATCGCGTAGGTTGGATCTTTTGATATTTTTAATAGAAAACATGGCAGGACGTCACAAATTTTAACTCTAGCAATGTGTAAAATATACATTTGCTCTTTTTTTCTGTTAGTTTTTGCAATTCATTTGGCAACAAATATTATGACTTATTTCGAAAATATAAATATTTAGACCCCAAAGTGATATGATTATTGCATTGTTTTATATTTCCGAAAAAAAGTATTGAAATATTTTAAAGATCTTATACTTGTAAAACATTAGTTTAAATTATTATACTCATTAAAAATATATATAATTCATTTTCTCATATCATGTGTGTAAACGAATATGCGAATATAAGGAAAAGTTTAACCCTTCGTATAGTGGTTTATTTTTTCTTAAGTTCCAAATTTAGTTTATGGAGATTATTGATCTAATTACTACGTAACAATAATTTGACGAATCAGATGTATCGAGAAGAAAATTATTTGTCAAATAAAAAATACTTTGTTCTATATATCAGAAAAATAATATTTATACAATTTTTCATTAATTGAGGATTTAATGTGTATAAATAAGTATATAGTTATTTGGAATTTGAAAGAAATTATGCTTGGTACATAACCATTTGTGTCAGTTAGTATGCAGGATGAGAAACAATTGAAGAAATAGTTTCGAAAATTTAAGCGTTTTAAGTTGGATGTGAATATGTCATGTGAATATGAAGTAGGACATTTGAAAGCCAAGAAAAGTATCGAAAATGTTCGAGCTTACTAATTGTTTTATGTGTGATCAACAAAGAACAATGTGCATTTGTTTACTAGGACTATATATGTTACCGCTAAAGCTCGAAAGCCGTCAATGTGTACATTAACTAGCTAATCTGTAGATTAACTGAATTGCTCTGTCAACGTGTGGAACCAAAAGTTTTCCTCATTTTACCTACTTAATGTACACATTAACGACTTTCCGTAACGTTACAGAAGATGTCCTTGCTGCAAAAATATCTTTACGTCAAACAGCAATAAAACGATCCTTTTGTATTGAGCAGGGTTTCAGAAAATCTGCATACAAATCTAAATGTACCACAAATAGGTGTGCTTGTCGTAAGAACCTATTGTTATATAATTCAAAGTATAATCCATCTTTAGATTGCACCATTAAGTAAGCACAATTTGATCATAATATATTTGCTTCAAACCGTGCACTGAGAATCGTATCTGATCGTTGATTTACAGTTATTTATTTATTCGGTTAATTGTTATGTTTGTTTTGTATATTATAATCATGATATTATAATCATGTTGTAAATATAAGAGAAGTAAACAAGTAAGAAAATAAAAATAATGTAAGTCATTTAACATCGATATAAGAATTATTCGAGTTACAAGCATCCATTTTATATGTAATTATAATTTTGTCAGGCAATACTTTCAATAATTCACAAAAAGGGTTAATTCTCTCAATAATAATTTGAAACTTTAGGGTGCCTTTCTTAACAAGAATATTTGTATTATAAGACACTGTATTTTTTATACATCGCATTGGTTCTGGTTCCCATTTACCTTTATTGTTACATATAACTTGATCTACTTGTACGGATTGAGAATTTTCAATTTCCTGATAATTGTCACGACAACTCAACTTAGCGGTGGTTCCAAATAAAACAGGTGATTCGCAAGATACTCGTTGACCGTTTAATGTACAATCAGCGTTTGTTGATGCTGAAGCCAATGGTTCGCAACGTATGTCTAAAATAATATAAGAATCATTAAGAAAATGATTGAATAGTAAAGAATTGTCGTTATAAAACTAAAGTTTTAAATCTTACCAGTACAAACTGGAATTTTTTCCCATTCTTCTCTTTCAAGACATAATGTATAATTAGGTTGGCTTACTTCGTATCCGGGAAAACAGTTATAAATTAAAATAGTACCAGATGGTAATATTTGACCCTCCTGTACGTCACAATTGCCTTCTAGCAATAAGCATTGATATTTATCTAAATACCAATAACCATTTTCTGGCTGGGGAGGTGCTGAACAACCAGTTGATAATAATTTTATATTTGAAGCAGGTATGAACATTAAGAAATCTGTGAAACGAAACAATTGTTTAAGTATTTGATCATTTGTCAACTAAGTTTCTTACATAAACCGTCCACAAAGTAAAAAATAAAAATATCTTTAAAATAACAAGATTTTATACTATCAGCTAATAGATTAACACGTAAGTCACTAGTTCAACATTACTGTTTGTAATTGATCTTATCATGATAATTGTTTTCTCTCTCTCTTCGTTCATTATAAATAATATTATTTTTCGAGTTCAAAGGCGTATTATAGTCTTACTAAATAAAAACTGGTTTCTGATTTCTTGGAACAAGACGCGTCGTATATTCGCTGATTGAATAATTTATTAATCTATTATACATATTACATATATATATATTTGTTTTATTTCATAAAAATACTTTCAATTTTTATGATAAGAAAAAGAATTTTCTTTTATATACACGTATACCGATATGAAAAATTTGTAAGATTCAGTATATTACTAGATTTTATTTAAACAAATTGATATTAATATATGTAAGAATATAACATATCTTGAAAATATATATATACTAGCAGTCCCGGCCACGCGTTGCTGTGGCTAAAGTATACGTTAATTCATATTATAGTAAACTATTCAATACAATGAAATTATTATTTACGAATAAATACGATAACGTAATAGTCGGTATAAAAATGTAGAATTTTAGATTTTATTAATCTTACATTCAAGTTTGTAACAAATGAGTAAGTTACAAAGTTGTTAGTTGATAACATGTAACATTTAATTTTATACAGGAAGTAGGTAGTGAAAAGCTGTCGGGCTAGGGATTTTGTTAATTTTAATTTAATTCAGCACTAATCGGTGCACAATATTCTTGATTAACCTGTCTCTAGCTAACTAAAACTAACTCTAAAAAATTTTCCAACAAAATCACAATTTCTCTTTCCTCTGCTTGTTTAATGAAATTATACTCGCACCGAGTTGTCACGCGTTCTTCATAACTGTCCATAAAATAAATTTGAAGAAGCTTCGGATTATCATTTGGCATTGGCATCAATGACTCAATTTTATGGTACACCTGGCCTTGTATTTTGAATGTAGTTTCAAAATTACGTCCATCGGATGAGGGATCGCAAATTTTAGTTGTCCCAAAAGACGCCATTTAGAAGCAAGAATTAAATTTGCGTATTGTGCGCAAAAATAATTTCGAATCATCTGAATCGCCAGCAAGAAGCGATAGTACAGGTTCCGACAGAGTGGGTAGAGGTGACAGTACAAGTTTTTCTGATGCGCAGCACATGCCTAGTGGTTTATTGCGAAATTTTAATGCCTGACAATATTGACATATTTTATCCATTGCGCCGATAGCAATTTTTAGATGCGCAGAGTAATTAATATCTGGTGCATATTCGAACGCAAGACGAACAAATGATGCACGTGTTAATGAGCGGCTGGTCCACTGTTTCTGTCGTTCTTGTACTCGTGCTGTAGCTATGTGTTGTTCACACGCCGCTCTTATTCTCGCAAGATTCTGTCACAGACGTTCGTCCCGCTGTTCTTGAGATTCTTGTGCACGACTCTGGATAAAAATCGGTTTAGTAGTTTAGGAGTCCATCGCAGACAAACATAGTGACACGAGATTTATATATATTAGATATATATAAATGTTACTGTCAAAGCCGGAAATCAGGCATTACTAGTAAATCCTCGGCATTACTATGAATGTGAAGAGCCTTCAGACGAAGTCGGAAATTGAAAAATTTTTCCTAGGCATCGAACATAATACTTTGATATCCTATAGAATATCAAATTACATATATAAATGAACATATTTCTAAAATTCAAATTTCTTTATAAATAGAGTTATAAATGACGCTTGGGTTTTCCAACGTCTGATAACCTTTTTTTAAGATGATTGCGGAGGTTAACGTAACGTTATTGCGAATATATATATATATATTCGCGTGTCTCAATTTTATAATTTAATGATTGTAACATTAAAAATACATAAAGGAAAATAATCAAATTATTTAACATAAAAATAATTAACTGGAAAACTTATTTGTTAGTAAATGCTTATCGTGTTATAATCTTATAAGATTTTGATGGAAAGATGAGAGTTTAGATTAACGTTTATATTTCATAAGACTAATTTTGTTGTTAATATATTGATTTCTATACAAACAATTAATTATGATTTTTATATTTAGAGGAATGCATTCTGTATGAAATCTTTGCGATATATATTTAGTTTTTCTCTGAAAGGAAGAGAATGGTATTTGAAAGATTTGTTTGGAAAACCTATGCAGTTGAAGACACCTGGTCGTACATTATAAATATCATATACAGTAAATATAGATTGCAGTGCTATTTCTGTCCATATTTAATATCTTCATTATTTTCAATCGTATTAAAAAATTTTAAAGAAATAAGTACATTATTCTCTATAATAATGAGGAGAACTAATAGTTGAAAGAATTTTTTTTCTCAAGATTATGTAAAATATATATAAATATAACAAAACGAATGTTATGATGAGATATTTATATAGTGTACGAAAAAACGAATTAAAATTACTTAAACGAACACATCATTGCGATCATTTTTTCTCGTGTTATTCGCATGTAAAGATAATTACTCTCTATTCATCTCTAATATCTCTGTTATTTTTATATATAAATATACGAAAAAATGATTCATATAAGAAACTCTCCTGGCATGAAAAGGAGCATATGTTAATGCCTATTTCTTTTGCTTATGCAAAAAGATAGAGGAAATTTCATAATATGAAAATTATCATTGATCATATAAAAAATTGTAAAAATCTTTTGAAATATAAAATAATATAATGTAATTGTATTACTTACAGCCAAATGCAATTAAAAATAAACACTTTTTATATACGATATCCATAGTGATCAAAAGGAAAAAATAGAAAACGAATTTTAAAATTGAAATAATATTCCAAGAGAGTGCCGTATCATGTTGTCGTAAATCAACTCAGATTCACCAATGTTTGCAAGTCGGTCCGATAGTCCACACTGGAGAAATTTGTAATGTTTGCTGTATATTATATACGTGATATCAATACTCGTGACGTATGAGTCTCATGATAAAAATTATGAGATAAAAACGTAAGAAAAAGAAACAAGTTTTAAATAAGTATATTTCAATATGATAGTGGAGATTCGTTTAATAATGTTAATCTATGTAATTAATGTGTAACAATTCAAATGATAAATAACATCATATTTCTTTTATTTCGAGCAATAAAACAATTTAGACTCTCATTAAAATGATTCCAGATCTTACTACTGTTCGGGTTATTGAATCTTTTGAAAGGAATTTGTACTTTGCTTGAAAGGAATTTGTACTTTGCACTGTAATACTTCAATAGTCGCGGCGTTAATGAGCACACTACGGTGTGCACTGCAAGGATGGGTTGTCGTGCTTGGACCTTATGCCCGTGCTGGACACGTACTTACTTCAGTTCAGGACTGCTTATTATTAATGTAAGTTGTAATTAAAATTGATGACAAAGTGTGTGATTGCAACAGCGAAAGTTTGGCAGCGCTATTGGATAAAAAAATTCACGCAAATACGAAACAGCCAATCATACGGTCTACTTTCAGGGGTTACATGGGTTTGGGACTTTCAACAAAATTTTTTTTTGTTTATTTTTTTTTTCAATTCTACAACTCATCTAGAATATTGTATTCAATTTTTAAGTCGATAGGAGTAGTAGTTTTAAAGATAGAGCCCTGGGAAGTTCCACTCTTTAATGGCTCTTATACCAGCACTCAAATCTCTATACGCGTTTTTCTCAAAACGCTTTTTCTAAAGTCGGTTGTCAAGATTTCTGGAAAACTATTTAACCGATTTTAATGAAATTTGCTACACGTCTTCGTGATACTATTGACAAGGACTTGGACGAAGKATTTTCGTTTTTCTCATAAAATCGAATTTTAAGAAACCAAAATGTGGTG